GCATGCATTCTTAAGATGAGAAAGGTAAATAACATAGCCACAACACATATAATATCATGCCAAGATATGATCATAAGCTAATAAGCAATCTCATGAATACAAGGGCATAAAACATCCATGCATAACAAAATTTCAAATTTAATGTCACAAAAAGATTAAAATGAAAGGACTATTTTAGATCCTTTACCGGACTTGGCCTTCCTATGGTTCGTAGAGGATTTGATCTAGCTTCTAGAACATTTTTCGGAAATGGGATTGCCTTTCCAGATTTTAAGTTATTTAGAAAATATTCCAGCGCTGTCCGGGTTCAGTCTAGATCCGTCGACCGTTACGAAAAATTGATCTTCTTGCAAACCACTTAATGTTTTTCGATGAAACCAATTTTAGTTAAAATTTAACACCTTAAGGAAGGTTTTGACATAAAATAGAGGTCCAAAATAATTTTGTACATTTTTCTAGAATTTCTGGAAGTGGGCTGCAAAAACATATTCTAGGGTACTTTGCCCAAAACAAGAAGATTTATGAAAAATGGATTCCACCAAGGGAAATTTTCACTTCTTTTATGAAAACAATATGCTAACTATCACATGTTTAACTCAGAAAATTTGTTTGAAAGAGTGCCCTTGAAAAGTTGAGAGATTGGTACAAAAAGAAGATGGTTTTGTGCCAAAATGGGAAAAATACAAGAGAAATGGAATCAATACTCATTTTTAACATAAGAACTTAGTAATAATAGATCTGAAAATCATTATTTAGAACCCTTAGAAACATGTATTGAAAAAAAGGAAAATAAAAGAGAAGGTTGTGTTGGTGGCTTACCTTCTAAGCTTTGCACAAGAAGGCTCTCTTCTTCCTCCTTCTTCTCCTATAGACTTCTCTCTCTTGCTCTCCTCCCTCTCTCTAACCGAAATGTGTGTGTGAGTGAGTGTGTTTGCAAGCTAGGGGGTGTGTTGGTATTTATAGACAAACCTTTGAGGCAAAAAGTTCTAAAAGTCCCTTAGTTGGATATGGATGGAAAAGTTAGGATTTTGCTTGGAATCTAATGGAATAGGGGTGGTTTTGGAGTTGAACCATAGGATTATGCAACAATTGGTTGATTCTTAGTTGAAAGGAAACTAGTTTTAAAAACATCACCCTAGGTCTAGGGTACTAGGTCTTGATTTTCCTAGAACATCATGATGGTGGTTCTTGAAAATTGGCTCCTCCTTGGGGAAGTGTGATGGGGTTATTATTTAAATCATTTTAGGTTCTAGGCACGCTCCTCTAGGTGTATATATATATTACAAGATTGATAGTACTTCAAAGTACAAGGTACAAGTACTAGTTTGGGGTTAGTTTTGAATTTAAATAAAGAGTGAGGGCTTGGAGTTAAATACATGTAACTTATGTAGAATTAAATTAGGTTAGGGAACTTATTCCGGCTAGGGAAATTCCTGTTTCGACAAAAATAAAAATAGTAATGCTAACCATCAAGATTCGAATTAATTCAAGTAACCGAGGGGCTTTAAGAAAATAATTCAAACATTGGGGTCTTTAAAGTGAATACATATTTTAGGGGCTTTACAATATCATTTTCAGTATGATCAGTAGGGATGTAATAAGTAGAAGGATCACTAAAGGTACTGGAGGAAGTTTCAGGACTAGATGAATAGTCAGAATGATGAAGAGATTGAATTGGAGTTTTGATAAGGTTAAAGATTTCAAATATTTGTCGTTGATTCTCTTGAGTAATTTGGAGTTGATTAAGTTTACCTTTAAGTTTTTCTTTAACTTTACATTTGTTAGAGTAATAACCTTTTTTACCCCAATTATAGCAAGTAACATCTAGATTGGATTTTGACTTTGTAAATTTAGTATTTGATTTCTTATGGTATTTCTTTTTAGGTTTAGTATAAAATTTATCAGGGGACTTGGTAGGGGAATAGTTCTTCCTATGTTTAGCAGAATATTTATGTGAAGACTTTTTCTTAGTATGTTTACGTCGAGAGGGAGCAACTGGAGGTAAGTCATATTGTTCACAAAAATTACCTAATTCATACTTAGCTTTGTGTTTATCTTTAGTAGCTTTTTGACTTAGTTTCATATCTATACACATTTTTAAGCCTTCCTTTTGAATTGTACTAATTATATCACCGTAAGTTAAATTATCATATTCAATAATACCAGAAGGTTGACAAAGAACATCCCTAATTTTATGGGCAAAAAGACTAAGTAATCCATTAATAAATTTTTCTTTTCAAAATGACTTAGTACAATCGTCGCGAAGCATGACTCGAGAAGTAAAAACATCTTTATACTATCAAAATCACTTAAAGTAGGGCAAGATAAATTACTAAGTTGATTATGAATCCTAGAATGAATATTAGTAGGTGTTCCAATAAAATGTTTGACTATAGTGTAAATTAAGGTATTAATGCCATCAGGTGTACTGGTTCCTATATCTTCATAAAAAATGGGAAGATTATTTTTATCTAATTGGATAGCATATTGAATCGATTCTCGTTGATTAGAAGTGAGATAATTATCCCACCAAGTTTTGAGCATACCAATAAAACCAGAGATAAGTAAGGTAACTATTTCAGAGTGAGTAAAGTCAGGATAATTACTAAGGTAACCATTTGCAACCATAGATAGATTATTTAATTTTTGAAATATCTAATGTTCACTAAGACCATCAATATTCCATTCATATAATTTTTTGGCTGAAACAGAAAATTGATTACTAATATTAGTTTCTTCAAATTAGAGATCTGGCGGAGTAGGTTTAGTATACCAATTTTTTTTAAGGGTAGTAGGGTTAACTTTGGGATGAGTTATTCAATTTAGATGAGGATTCTGGAATTGTTGGGCTAAGTGGTTAAGTTCATCATCAGATGTGTCAGAGTGACTAGTGATGTTAACAGGTATTTGTTGTGTTAAAACAGTAATTCCTTTTGGATTAGAAGTAAAAGCGGTAGTCATTTTAGTGAATAATTTTTCAATGGATTCAACAGTATGTGTGTCATGAGTTACTAAGCTTAAGCGTTTCCTTATGCTACGAAGATTAATAAGGGGTTTATCCAAAGGTTTACTAGTGGAAGTATGACTAGTGGAGTAATCTTAAAAAGTGGTTTCAATTTTATCTAATTGTTTACCAATTGTTTTTAAAAATTGATTTGTGTAATTATTTTGTTCAATTACTTTTTTGATTTCAGATGATTCATCAGCCCCATGATTTTTTCCCACCTCTAGTAATTTAGCAATGTCATCTTTGTTTGGCGTCCCCAAATACACATCTGAAAAAATTGTACAGCAGGAAGTTTAAATGGAGAAGCATGAATTACAGCTCCTTTATGTTCAATAAGAATAGTTTCTAAAGGAGGGTGACTAGAGGAAACATAAGTATTGGGAGAAGTTTTCCATTTTATTTTTGTAATAACGTTGACTTTTTTATAATAATTTTCTAAATAATCAAAGAAGTTAATTTCAGTATTAATTTCATTCATAAATTTATACCATTTTTTAATAATTTTGGATTGTCGTCTTTCATCATAGGTTTGCCTATATATGTGACGTTTTGACTTATTTGCCTTAGATTTAATGGAGTCTATTAAGATCATGAACGAAAGGTTTACGTAGGGTCAATAATTGGGGATTAATTGGAGAAATGACTTCAAAATCAGTTTGAGTTGGTGAATCATGAGATGTAGTTTCATTTTCTTCATGAAGGTGTGTGTGTGTGGAATAAACTGGTTTACTGATTTGGGATGTAATAGAATTATCGATTCCTTTTAACTTAACTGTGATTGAGATGGAGCTTCCTATCTCGTCTAGTAAATAAAGGTGTATTAAATATTTCATCATCTTCAGTATCAGCAGGGATACAAGAAGTACTATGACGGGAAGATTGACTAGTGGGTCGATTGAACTTTATATGGGACTGAACCATCGTCGATTTGTTGGATTCGACTAATATTAATATAATCAGATTGGTGTTTCTGAGTCTGAGAATAATTTTCATTAACTGTAATCCAATTATCAGGGAGAGTGATTTGATCCCATCCAATCATTTTAGGTACTTCGATATTAGTTTCACTAGTACTACCTTGGATTAATAAAGTTTTATCTTTGGGACTTTTATGTAAAGCATGAACATTAAGATTAGTTTTAATACATTTATAATAAATTCGATAAATTAAAGCAATTGATTGGGAGCCACTGATCATATCAGAGGAGGCACCAGAGACTTGAATTTGGATGACTTGGGTTTGGAAGAGCTAGTTGTAAGGCTTCCAAGTCTGACTGCAGGAAGTGGGCTTCCTTGAGTGACTAGAGCAGTTGGGTTCTGCTGAGCTTTAACCATGGTTTTGCTGAGCTTTAAAAATAATATTTTTTAATATTAGTTTTAAAAATATTATAAAAACTAATTTTTAAGTAATATTTGTTTTTATTTTTTATACAATTTGTAATATGTGAATATATACCAACATATGAATTTTGTGGAACCATCTTGAAGGGAAGGGGAGGGGAAGAATAAAAAAAAACAATAAAGAATTTTTAAAAAAAAAAATACAAAGGAAGTTCTTCAATAATTGTAATTTATCAAATTAAGAACCAAAAGAACACAAATTAACTAATCAAAAACTTTACAAAGGTCAATGAATAAAATAAAGAAAAAAAATCATAAATAGCACAGTTAGGAATAAACTTCAAAATAAATAAACTATTTCTAATTCAAGTTATTACAAATCTATATGTAGATGCCACAAATGCTCAACTAGGTCTTCTTGGAGTTTAGAATAAGTTTGTCTATCTCTGATGCGATGATGATTTTGAATGAATTCATAAAGTTTGGGTGTACACTCGTGTGACACTGTTGGAGGAAGACTTTCATCGATTGCATCATAATTACAGTCTATATTTTGTTCATTTCGCTCATCCTCAACAATCATGTTATGCAATATTATTCATACCTTCATAATAACTTTAAGGGTTTTAACTTTTCAAAAACGTGCAAATCCTCACACAATTGCAAAACATGCTTGGAGCACTCCAAATGCTCGTTCGACATCCTTCCTTGCTGACTCTTGAGTTTTAGCAAAATGTGTTGGCTTATTGCCTCGCTGAGATGTGATTGTTTTATTGAATATTGACCATTGAGGATATATACCATCAACGAGATAATATCCCATTGTATAATCATTTCCATTGATTGAGTAATTAACTTGGGGAGCACGCCCTTCAGCAAGGAGAAAAAATACAGAAGAACATTCTAGCACACTGATGTCGTTATGAGATCTCGATAATCCAAAAAATGCATGCCATATCCATAGATCATAGAAAGTCACCGTTTCTAAAATAATAGTTGGTTCATGGATGTGACCACAATACATACCTATCCATGTAGTAGGACAATTCTTCCACTTCCAATGCATACAATCAATGCTCCTCAACATTCTAGGAAACCCATGATTTTTTCCCACCTCTAGTAATTTAGCAATGTCATCTTTGTTTGGCGTCCCCAAATACACATCTGAAAAAATTGTAACCACTGTCCTAACAAACCTTTGTAGACTTTCTATTGCAATGTTTTCTCCAATCCTCACATAATCATTTACAGAATCTGCCGCTATTCCATAAACAAGCATCCTCCTAGCAACTATCATCTTTTGAAGGAAAGACAGACCAAGAACTCCAAGAGTATCTTGTTTCTGGACAAAATAAGGATCATATGCTTCCACCATAGATAAAATACGAAGAAAGAGACATCCACTCATCCGGAACCTCCTCCTGAATAAATTGGGAGGATATGTAGGCGTTTCAGAGAAGTACTTTTGATAAAGTCTCTTGTGGTCTTGAATTCGATTACGATAAATAACTGCATGACCTTGAATGAAACCACAACGTAATCCCAATTGTCTCTCATTATGTAGTTGCACTTCTTCTGAAGCAGCTATTGCAAAAATCTCCAATTCACTATCAGAATCGGAGTCATCAATAATCATCTTCATTACGCTATTGCGAGCCATGGAAATTAAAAGAATAATGAAGCTGAGAGATAAACTACTAAAAATAAATATTAGGTTGTGTTTTGCTTCTTAAGCTTTGCAAGTTTCTGCCTAACAACTTCGATTTTCTGCAAAGTCAAATTTATAAAACATATCAAACAACTTCCAAAATCATAACACCAGCAACTTACATAATTTGTATTTAATTCATCAACTAATAGAAATGTCTTGTAAATAAGTAGCACATCAATTCAACATATAACAAGCAATTATATTTAGACCTGGAGTACTTTTGCAAGCATTCAACAAGAATTTCACTCAGTAACTAAATTACTACTAGTTCAAACATTCAACAGCACGTAGTTCCAAAATAGTTTAAACATATAATAACTAGTTCAAACATAAACTACATAAAAACCATAGTTTTGCCTACAATAGAGAATCAAATCCAACAATAAATAAAGTAAAAAACATAGTCCCAACAACTAAATCTTTTTTGGGTAGTTCCAACAACTAAATCTTTTTTTGGAGAATTTCCATTTGGCGGCGATGAATGTATTTTGCTTGCAATGGAGGCAAAGCACTCGTATCTATTGACATTATTCGCTCTTCCTCCTTTAATTGTTCTATTCGCATCTTCTCTTTCTCATTATCAATCTTTTCTTGTTCCATTTACGTTCTCACTTTCTCATTATCAATCTTTGAGATACGACCTTTCATACATTTCTATTTTCTTGTCATTGATTTTCTTTCTATCTTCTTTTAACTCCTCTAATAATATTAAAATAGGCGACCCTCCTTCATTTCCACGATCTTTATTCTTTCTTTTATTCAAACGTTCATTTTCAGTCTTCCTACCCGGTGGTCTTTCCAAGTCTACATTGTCATTATGTGAGGCATCCTTGTCCTCTAAATTGATTGAATCTGTTGTACAAGGAGAACAAATGTTGGGAGTTGCCACTTTTTTTGTGATTTGTTTCTTCATGCTATATTCCTCTCACCATTTTGGTTGATCTCTTAACTCATGCCAACCATGTTCAAATGGAAATGACAATTTGTGAAATTCTTTGTATAATTTCTTCACATCATGAATCTGGATAATAGATAAAAGAACACTAATTATCATGAGATCAGACAATTCTAATAATAATAAGTATAAAAATCTCAATGGCATTAATACCTTGTCTTTCTCAGTCTTTCCACTTTAATTCAACCTTTGGATTTAGGCGAAGCACCCAATGAACTTATTCGTGGCAAGTTGAATCGCTGACCAACGAATCATTAAATAAGTTTGACTACAATTAGATGAAAACGTTTTGAACTGGTGGAAATACTCCCACACTCTTAGCCAATATGCCTTTGATTTTTGTCCATTCCCTTGTACTGGATCTAAGCTAACGTTAAGCCATGCCAATATGAGCATGCTGTCTTATTCTGTAGTGAAGTTGCCTCCTCGTCGTGGTTTCTTGGTGGTTTCTATTTGAGGAGAGATTGGGAAAAATTGATCCCCTTGGTGAAGAGGTTCATTCATAAATTCATAGTCAGTCCTATCATTCATCAGGTTAGTATAATATGCACAATTTTGTTGATAATCCATTTACAGATAAGGTAAATATTTTTTTAATTCTTAAAACTAAAAACTAAAACTGAAACATTACTATTTCCACTGTGAAACACCTTGTGGTATAGTTAAAAATAAAGAAAATTATGGCTTGTAATTAACAAAATAAAAAAAAAATCAAAGAAAACTATTTCTACTCTACACATGTTTATATTTGCTAGGATACTTTGGGCTCCAATATTCTACTATCTATTTAAAGGTCCTTTTTTTGGTAAGTAAAACTGCTTACTGGTTGAGGCTTCTACCACCACAAGCATTTGGATACTTTACCATTAACACTCTAGAATGGTGGTTATTGAAATGAGTTGGCCAATAGCTTTTTGAAGGCAATGATGGTGTTCTTTGGGGTCAGCTTGTAAAAAAATATATAAATGTCATCTAGATAAATTTTTAAAACCAGGTATAATTGCCAAATAAAGGAGATAAAAATGAAATGGAGGCAAGTCTATCCCTTCGTTGAGTAGAGTTTACAAAGATAAGAACTTAGAGGTTGCATTATTCATGCCTAATTAGTTGACAAATTTAAGATTACAAAGGTAATGTAAATATGAAACTCAAATAAGATAATGTAAATATGAAACATATAGACATATACGCAAACCCAATATATACATTTTTTTTTCCTAGCATTGATGATAAATTTGCATGCAAAGATACAAATAAATAACAATAAAACAAAGACCAAGCACACTCAAAGCAATAACATAAACAAAGTAAGAAACAAACCCAAACCAAATACTACATGCACATACACAAACCCCAATCAATATATATATATTGTTAATCATAAAAAAAAAAAAAAACAGTGTTGCTGATTATTGTTGTTGCTATTTGTATAGTTTTTTTTTTTTTTTATCAGCTAAAAATAAGAATTTTATTGATACTAAGTAGTTGTTTGGGATGTGCTATATAAATGTACTTTTTGACTTTTTGGTTAAAAAAGTAGAGAAAAAAAATGTATATTTGGGTTAACTTTTTGACTTTTTACGAAAAGATATGTAATAAAATATTATAGTAAAATCAAAATGACCATTTTACCCTTTTAACTTTTTAGGTAGTTGAATTCAAATGGCAAAATAATAATTTTGTCTTAGTGGCTTCCCCCACAAACTACCCTTGAATAGTATAGACTTTTTAACTTTTTTAGTAAATTTTTGACTTTTTAACTTTTTAGTTTATCCCAAACAAGGCCTAAATATATGAAAATATAAGCAAAACCATCGATAAAGGGAGAGCATACCCTCCCGAAAACAACCCATAAACACACAATTGGTGAGATATCAATTACACCAAACCATCCAATAAACCATAAACCACCCAATAAACTACAACCCATGCTCATCTATAACCATCACCCAAAGCAAAAGAAAAAACAGAGGTAAACAAAGCATCACCAAGGCAGCCATCCAATTCAAACCCATGCTCATCTATAACCATGTTCTTTTTTTTTCTCTATCAATAAAATTTTTCGTTACTGATCAAATATATATATATATATATATATACACACATATATACACAACCCAAATTAGTATTTAGACATACACAAAAATTCAACACATATACACATACAAACAAACCCAAATTAGATATGTTCATAAAACCCAATCATAAGGTATACATGGAGGGTTCAACTTGTATAAAGTGAGAGACTTGTATGGAGGAGAAAATAGGAGTTCAGGAGGGAGAAATAATGGCGGATTCAATTTGGGATTTCTCACAGATTGGGGGAAATAATGGCAGATTCAAAGAAAAAGACTCAGTACACATAGAGGAAGAAAAGAGAAATAGAGAGAGTACAATACCTTCACAAGGCATTGATGGAGAAGGCATTGATGAAGAGAGAACTGAAGTTGAATGATTTGGTAGGAAAGATTTGGTGAGAAAGAGACCGTATGTGTTTGGAGAGCCTAGGGCTTTTCAATTGTAGCCAGCGAAAAATTCTAAAGGTAAATAGCCAGCCTAATAGCTAGTCCGTTGAAGGCTCAAAATCAAAGTTAAATTAGCTAAAATGCCTAACAGGTCTGTTTTACCTATCCCATTAGAGTTGCTCTAAGGCACATTATTCTTAAGGGTATTTCTTTGAGTGTGATCAATGGTATTTGTTCTAAAGATTATTCGGTTTGTTTAGTTCTAGTTTTCAAAAAATTCTATTTTTTTATTTTTCGTATTTTGTTGTTTTCAATGAATTTTTTTAATATTTTAAGCTATTTTTTTTAATTTTTAGACACACTTAACATAAATACACTTAAAAAGTATAATATTTGTGAAAAAAACTTTAAAAAATACACTAAAAACCAAAAAAATACGAAAATTTAGTAAATTTTTTAATATTTTTTTGTACTTATTAATTTTTTAAAATATTTTTTTCATAAATATTTTAATATTTAAATACATCTAAGTAAGATGCATTTAAAAAAGTAAAAAAAAATTATTTAAAATTTTAAAAATATTCACTAAAAACTAAAAAAATACGAAAAATAAAAAATTCAATTTTTAAAAAATTAAAACCAAACACAACTATTCTTTTTCTAGATTTGGGCATATTGTGAAGAGCATTGCGGTTGTAGGAAACTCTCTGCCCTGGTTTGAAGTGGCTCATGTCCATCGGCAAGCGAATGATCTTGCGCATCGCCTTGCTCGCTAGGCGAAGATGGGTCAGTTTTGTCCACTTGGGTAAGAACAAGTCTAGATAGGGGTGGGCGCGGGTCAGTTGGGGCCATGGAACTTCCAATCCGTCCGCTAGATTGGCAGATTGGAGAAAATCAATCCGCATCCGTCCGTCAATCCGACGGATGTAGATTGAGTAGATTGGCAGTTTGGCGGATGGATGCGAATCGGTTTGGCGGTTTGAAATTTTATAAATTTTCAACATAGTTCAACTTGTACACTTCCTCAACAAAAAAAAAAAAAAAGTATTACAGTCAATGACTTAAAAAAGTATTACAATTACTGCATGCCTCATCCAAAGAAAGAAAGTTTGAAACTTTAGAATATCAAAATCACTGCATGCCTCATCCACATATTACAATCACAGCATGCCTTATCCACATAAAGTATTACAATATGTGATTCTTAAAATATAAAAACAATTCAAACCACCAAAACCATGAACATAGCAGCAGTAGAGATTGTATGTCTCTGCATTGTTACATTTATATATGTTTTTTAAAACAAAAACCAACCAACATATATCATATTTTCTATTTATTACTTTTAGAGTTAGATTTAAAAACCAAAAAATATAAATATATAATACATTTATTTTTTTCAATTCAAAAAATATATTCAAGTTGAAAACTTTTTTTCAACAGAATATTTAAACTCTTTTTCAATTGAAAACACAAACAAAATATTTAAATAAATTGAAAACACAAAGTCT